ATTCCGATTCCGCAGAACTGGGTTGGGTGTGATAAAGTATTTGTTGTTAACATTCTTTTTTCACTTGGTTTTTCCAGTTACGAGTCCTTTTTAAAGCTGTTCATTTTGTGTTCATTTTGTTTAGTTCTTTTTTCGTAACAGATTTAATGTTTAGTATAAAGCTTAGAAAAAATTTGCAGTGTGAGATAGGCAAGAAGTAAGGCATGTAGCAACATCAGCACGGCAAAGGGAACTCCTTTAAAGGCAAGGAAGGACAAAACTATTTTAAGTCAAGTGATAGCGATTGCTGTACGAATCGTACAATTTTTGAATCAAGCACGAGCAATGCCGGGCCATGCTGCTAGTTTTATATAAAAATGTATTGCTGGTATTTTTACTATAAAATGTATTCCTATACTTTTATATTCTTTTGTTTTTGCTTGAGGATTTACTATTTGGCCATAGCTGGGACCCTAACAGGTGCTACCACTCCAGGTCAAGGTGGACCAGGGAACACCAGCAATTAAGATGTGGTTCCATGCTCCCCAAAACTTTCAATCTCCCTATCAAAGGCCTTGCTGCTGGATGTAGTTTATTGTCATACCCAGGACTCCTTAACTAAATGAAGACATCAGTGCTACTAATGTCTCCACATTATGTAGGGAGGTATTTCTGCTGCACCCTATATTTCTAATACTTTTGTTATATTCCTTATAGGTCAAAATAGTTTCCCATATTTGTTATCTACATGCATTTACAGATTCACAGACAGTAATGATAACAAAAACAAGAGAAAAAAAGAATGTTACCTGAAGGGCTGGTGATGTGTACCTGTATGATGATAATCTTTGAACTGCTGGGGGAGACAAGGAATAAAGGCAACCCTCTTGAGAATTGCCCAAATAACAGAACATCTCCATCTTGGAATTACATTTCGCTGACTGCAGACAGAAGTCAGAGTCTGCATTGTTTGGGGATTCGTGTCCTTCAGCTGGAAACAAACATTCACATGACACATTACATGTTTTATAAATGCATCAGAAATTAAAACTAAAAGTGTAAATGTGTTGAATGCTATAATTATTTGTATATAATACATGTTTCATTTTCAGATTTATATGTCTAAAGGTTAGAGATACAGAAAACATATTGATTGACCTATTTTTTTTATTTCTTTAAAAAAAAAAAAAAAAAAAGGAATTTTTTTTTTTCCATCATGCCCCAAGTAAGACAATAAAACCACTAAGATGCAAGGGGTTAAAGAAACAAAAACACTATTAAGGAGAGAGAATAAGTTAAAAAAAAAAAAAAAAGAATTAATAGAAGATATTGATTGACATTATATTTAAATTTTTGAAGAGCAAAGTTGACTGGGAAGCAAGAAGTTGGAAGAGAGTTCTACAAACAAAAAAAGTGATAGAAGAAACAGTCATCATAGAACTTATGATTACTTCTAGCCATTTCAACTGTAAAATGATTAGATCTTGTTGCCAATCTCATATTGTGCTTAATTTCTTAGTCTAGATATCACAGAGGAAAGTTCATCAGAACAATTACCATGAAAGTATTTGTAGCAAAGACAGAGAGAAGCTACATTATGGCAGTGGGAAAGTGAAAGAAAATTAGAGAAAAAATTCAAATGAACAAAATATTTTCAAATTTTTGTGTGTATTTTTATGAGAATTGTATGAATGGATAATATAATGGTTATCAGTGTAGAAAATGGAATCAGTGTGCCGAGTTCAAATTTCATCAGTTTTATCTCATTCACTTTGCACTAATGTCATCGGAAAAGACATTAATCTATCTTCCTCCAGCTATGGGTTAAACAACAGCAAGCTAGGCTGGGTTCTCTTAAGCTTGAGTGGCAGCCAGTTTAGGAGAAGAAGAACCTTGAATTCTAACAGTTTTGCTAGTTCTACATAAGCCTTCTTCATTTCGATAATCAAATCATCTTTGTGAGTAATCTAGCATCTCAATTCTAAACTGAACTGTTGGGCCCCATCCACTGAAACTGATGGGAGGGTCCATGAATAATTGGATGTTTGGAATAAATCGTTATTGAAAAGATTTATTTTTGTTTATGTAGCATACTACATAAACAAAAATAAATCTTCTTTTCAATAACCAAGACTTAAAAAAAATAAATATTCTTTTTATGAAACCTAAAAATCCTTTAGCTTTCAATTAAAGCTAAAATGAAATTTTCAAGAAAGATTCATTTTAAAATTTACATATACCAAATTAGTAGAGGTACCGATAAAGGATTTAAAATTTACTATTTCCAGTAAGCTAAATACTCTATGGTATATTTCAAATGGAAATTATATTGATCGGAATCGATTTTTTCCCCCCGTAAAATCGATAAAAATCGGCACATTTTGACATATTTGTAAACAAAAATTAATTCTTGGTTTGAAAAAATCTTGCAAAAATAAAATATATATTTCTGAAACATTATTTGAGGAAAATTAGCAAATTTAAAGTTAAATTAATCCGATTTGAAACAAATATTAATTATAGAATAAAATGATGTATACAAGCATTTTTTAACCATGGGGTTTTATTTTTCTTATGCATTAATCAATTTATTGACAGCTGATTGACTGCTGAACGTGTTCATAACTAGATATCTCAGAGGCCTTTGACAAGGTGTGGCACAAAAGCTATGGAATCACTGGAAGGGTTTTCTCTATTACAAAATCCTTCCTAACAGGTAGATTCCTGAAGGTTGTTATTAATGGCCAGTCTTACAACCCTCTTTTTGGTTTACATAAATGATCTACCTAAGAATATCTGATCATTTGCAAACATTTATGCTGATGATACGATGATATACAGGAACACCTCTAAAAGTCTTGATGATCAGAGATTGGCAGCTGACCTCTTTTACGATCTAGCACTAACTTCCCAGTAGGGGAGGGGAGACTGGCTTGTTACATTTAATGCCTCTAAAACCAAACTGGTTACATTCCATCACCACTGATCATACCTCGAACTACTGCAAGTCACAATGAATAGATAACCCCTCAAGGAGTCACCATGTCTCATGAGGATATTGGGCCTCAAACTCACATCCGATCTCAAGTGGAATTCATATATACGATCCATTGCTAAAGATGCAGATAAAATGATCGGTTCTCTGTCCTGCTCCAGTAAGTACCTGATTCCTCATGATATCCTCGACTTTTATAACAGCCAGATCAGGCTGAAAATGTAGTATTGTTGCCATATTTGGGCAGGAGCTACTCAGACCTCATTTTCCAGTCTTGATGGAGTTCAAAAGTGTCCTTGTGGGAGAAGAATTAGTTTCCACACTCCTACCTCTCTATCTCACAGGCAGGATGTATCAAATCTCTCACTGCTCTATTGCTACTATCATGGAAAATGCTTGGACAAACTGCACCTCCTGGTTCCACCAGGTCAGATCTTCATGGCGAGGACCCGCCATCCAACTTAAATAGTAGCAAACCACCCACATTTGTTCGGTATTCCATCAGCAAGATTAAGTTCCACTCAAACAGCTTCTTTCTGCAAACCACTGCCCTATGGAACAGACTCCCTAGAGGACGTTTCCCTAATCACTACAACTTTAACCTGTTCAAGTCTAGAGTCAATCGTTATCTTCCCCTCCATATAAACTATCCCCTATTGTAACCCTCTACCTCAAGTGGTCCCATGCCTTGTACAGAGTGAACCCTACTGTAAAAAAAAAAAAAAAAAAAAAAAAAGATGATGGAGCAGATAAGTTTCATATGAGGGATTTTTTCTTCCCATAAGTGGAAACAACCCTTAAAACACGCGACTTTTTAATGATAACATTATAGGTTTGGACATCCATACTTTGAAATTCTGCATGTAGATCATATATACAAAAACAAATCGGAATTCCTTTAAAAAAATTTGGGGTTGTCAGATTGTAATAAGCTTTACAATATACAATTAGTAAATATAGTTTTACTTAATAACAATATTTTCTAAGAGTCATCTCATTGAAAATGAATTTTAAAAGATTTAAAAACTGTATAAATTATTCAGTTTAAAATTGTAAAAAGTGAAAAATCTTGTAAAAATTCATTTTTCATCAAATGATATTGTCTTTAATTTATATTATTCATAAAAGCAATTAAAAGTTTCACTAATTAAACAATGTTTTAGTTTTATTGCGTTTTTTATTTTTTGATTCAGAACAGATTTTCAGTAAGAAAAGTTTTCATAACATTAAGTGGAGGGGGGTAAAAAATTTTGTATCAAGATTTCTAAGAAAAAATAATTTCATTCATTTGCAAATAAGTCCTGAAACTTTCATTAAAATCCGAGAATTATTTGATTTTTGCAAGAATTTCCAAATTAATGTGTCTGTCACCACAAAAAAGAGGCTAAAATATGCTATGCTAAAAGTTAGTACAACTGTTGATGCAAGAAAAACAAGTTTTTTTTTTAATCAAAATTTCCAATGTTCTAAAAAGGAGTAAAAAATTTAATTAAATATTAAAAAAAATACTTTAATCCTTCCTCTTAATAATAATAATAAAGATTTTGATGATAAAATTATGTTTTCATTACATTTGGAGTATGTATTCATCATGGTATGCTGGTTTTTTTTAGCATTTTTGTGGAGGTAGCTACTTAAAAAAATAAACAAACTTTTATTTGAAGTTTTCTGAAAAAAATGCTTTTTCCCCCACAACAGTTTGTATTAAAAAACCTAAAATTTAATTTCCATCAAAAATGGTATTTAATTTTATTTTACTAATATTTTTCTTTGGTGTAATTGGACTTTTCTGTGTTACATTATTATAGCATTTAAAATATTCTGAACTTTTTTCTCATTTATTCCTCCTCAGAACCAAAAGAGATGCAAGTTTTATAAGTTTTTCAGACCCCAATTATGGCAAGTGTGTCCAATGCCAAGCAGAAAAGCAAAGTTTGAAAGTTTTTTTTAAAGATTTCTGATGATAGCCAAATTAAAACAATAACTGTAATTAGGTACTCAAGTAATTTATGTAAGGAAATTGTTCTCTTTATTGATTAAACTCTTAATCAATTTTTAAAATAAAAAGAATATCTAACTAATTTTAAGCTTTTGTATTCATTTTTCTAATGTTTTATTAATAAATGTATTTTGTTCATTAAGTTTCCCAAACCAACTTTAGGGCCTGAAAATAATGAATTTTAATCATTGTAGGTATCAGAATCAGAAATTTAGAACAGTATTGAAAATTGTATTGAAATTGGTAAAAATATTGGTATCGCCCCATCACTAGTAGACAGAAAACCCAATGTATTGGGTAATAAACAGAAATGAAGTAAAGAAAAATATACTGAGGAGACCAACTCATTCACAGTATCATGTGTAGAACAGGTAGTTCCATATTGTATAGAGTAGCTCAGTTATATTTGGTAGTTTATAGTAGTCTTATAGCTAATGTAATTATTTGTGTTTTAGTAAAAACTATGACAAAGTGTAAAAAGGTTTTCGTGCGATGCATTTCAACCTTTAGCATTTTGTTTTTCTAATTATTTGTGTATAATACGCCCCCCCCCCAGTTTGGGCTATGTAATTCCGGGGGGGGGGGGGCTAATCTGTTATGTAAAAAATGCAGATTTGGAATAGCTCAACTTAATTTTTCATTTGGTTTATATTGACAACAAATAAGAATTTATATAACTTACTGTACAGTATGTTTTGAAACACAAAATTATATATTACAAAACATTACAAAAAAAAAAAAAAAAAAAAAAAAAGCATCTCAGCTTCAGTCACTTTCTTACCAACATTTTCCCTGTGCCTTTTCTATAAACATTTTACCTTGAATTTATGAACTAGATTGGCAGCTAGGTCTCATCATTTTACAGTTGAAAAAGGTTAGATGTAACCATAAGTTCTATGCTAACAGTTTTTTTTTCTCTTGCAGTTCTCTCTCTCTCTCTTCCAGCCTCTTGCTTGCCAGTCAACTTTGCTCTTCAAAAATTTAAATGCAATGTCAATTTTTCTCTTCTATCTTCTGAATTCCTGTTCTTTTATTGTTCTCTCTCTTTAATAATGTTTTTCTCAGAGTCTATCACACTCAATAACCGCTTGCATCTTATCAGCTTTATTACCTTCCTTGGGAGTGAAATGACTTAAAAAAAAAAAGTTAGCCAAGGAAACATTTTATGAGGTAGTGAAAAAAAAAAGTGAATCAAACTGATCTGTTAATTTTTTTACCTGAATATATACATAATAACTGAAGGTGTTCCCATGGAATTCCTGACTTGGCTATTTTATACAGCAGTGTGTCAGCTTTGACTTTTCCATTCTTAAAAGCAGTCTTATCTGAAAGGAAACAATAAAGCATCAGGTTCAAAATTAAGTATTGATAATGGCACTACTGAGGTTATATGGTCAATTAATAAAAAATAGGAAAAAATTTTTTTTGACTAATTTTTCTTGGTTAGAGTTCATTTAGACCCTCTTCTACCTGTGACATTTGCCAAAATAAAATAAAAAAACTTGATATTTTATTATTTTAGAAGAGGGGGGCACATTCATATTATAAATACGGTATTAAATCAATCCCCATTTTTAAAGACATATCTGTATCTTGTTTATATTTAAAAGTGTCAAGTTTGAAACTGTACCCATGTCATTGATAACTGCCTACTACTGATGTTTTCCTTTTTTCCAATTAGAGATTTCCTCACTTTTTAAATTGTTACAGAATATGAAGGCCAGGGCCAGAATGGTCAGTGATTGACAAAAGTGACTTGTGGGTGGGGGATTCTGACAGTGATGAATTGCCTTTGTCTGGATTTTGAATATATATAAGTCCAAAGCAGCACAAATTCAACAGAGTATCTCGAGAATTCTGACATGTTGATTTGCCTCCCACACCCAGGTTTGCGGCTGGCTAATACTACCCGCACTGGGATGCTGAGCCAATGTGCGACATGCGTTCCTGTCATGTCAGTTCTACTATTGCCTCTTAGAATCCAAACTGCCAAGGTTAATAAAACAAATAGCAAAAGTAAATGATCTATTTCATTGATACTGTTTTTATTAATAGTGTGGGGATCCAGAAATGATACAGAATGCAACAAAATAAATATTTGCCAAACAGATTAATTTTCAATAATATATTGGACCATATTGTTGAACATATATCCTTTATAACTTTAGAAGATTTTCACGTGTATTCAATGTAAAAAATCTGTTTCATTATAACATATTTATTAAAAATTGGTGGAGGAAAATCCCTAATGGTGAGATTTATTTAAGATAAATATTTATTATCATCCTTTGTTTGTCCAAGTGTCTTTGTAATAAAGTCAAAAGCCAAAAGGAAAATATATTAATTTCTTCCAAATATCCCTCAATCAACATACAGACACTACCATTCAGAAACAAAAATGGCTACTAGACACACACATACACATATTATCACCCTAATCTTGCAAGACAAAGTAGAAATATAATCATACAGGCATACCAACATCATACTATCATCTTCAAACATCAGACAAACATACAGGCATGCCAACATCACACTATCATCTTCAGGAATTATACACACAGACATTACCAGACTGACACAAAAATACCCACTAGAATCCAGACAAGTACATCCACATAAACACTACAAGACAAAGACACATGGGGTCTACTTGACCAATGAAGAACAAACATCACAGGACTAAAAGTAATGGAACTTTCTCTTCCATTATTTATTTCTGATGAAGCTTAAATAAAAGCGAAACTGGTTAAATTTATAAACGTTTCCTATTTGTTCCTTATTCTGTCAGTTTCTAATCCATATTTGATATCAATTCATTAATCTTTTTCACAATAACTTATTTAAAAGTTTATTTAAAATTTTGAAAATCGGGGAAAAAAAAGGCAAAATTAGTAGCACACAGTTATGACATGAACAAAATTTCAAATTTGATATTTGTAAATAAAAACAAGTACAGATAACTCTTTAAAAAGTTATGGATCAATTTGATAATGTATTTATAATTGAACAGAAAAAAAAAAAAAAAAAAAAAAAAAAAATTATTTTTTTGATTTTAAAAAGTGTTGTTGGTTTGATTGGTTTGATTTTGTTTAGGGACATATCAATCCCGATGGGTTATTTAATACTGAAATCTTAATGTTTTTACTCAATTTTATTTTTGGGGGAAATAATAATGGTTTCAGTGATACAAATTTTACTAATTAACCCATATCTGGGGGAGAGAAGAGGTGAATTCGTAACTTTCCCAAAGGTATTTACATGTAAGTGAATGATATAACGATATATAATTTTGTATAATTTTGCATATCGACAAACAGCATTTAGAAAAAAATGACAAACTGGAAAAGTTTTTGTGACACATTTCAACAAGATGAAATGTGTCACAAAAATTTTACCAATTTATCATATTTTTCTAAATACGTAAGTGAATATAATGAACCAAACAGCAATTGGAACTCAGCTCTCCAATTAACAATTCTGAGCCATTATCCATTACACCACCCACACAGCTTACAGCACTTGGTATTCATAAGCAGTCACCCATCTAGGTACTGTTCAGGCTCAATGTTACTTAACTTTGGTGAATGTATGGGAAACTGTTATTTCAATGTGATATAGTCATAAATCTGAGAAACGCCGTGAGTAGAGGAAGGCCTAATGACAACAAAAATTAACCACAAAAAATTTTCCTTTTTTTTTTAAAAAGAAAAAAAAAAAAAAGAAAAAAAAAAAAAGCAGAAAATTTTCTTTTAGTAGTATCTTGAAAACATTGAAAGATTAATTAAATAAATAATCCAAAAATAGAAATGCTAACCTTTGACATGGACAATAACTTTGGGCAAAGACTTTGAAGAGCCATTAATTCCACTGTTACCATGAAGCTTAGGGAGATAGATAGGAGCTGGCATGTTTGCCAACCCTGATATCTGAGCCAAGTGACGAGTGCCTTGGCCAAAACTCCTACGTTTGGTTCGACTCCCATGATGATCACTGCTGAACACCCACTGGACATAGTTTTCATCATTCTGAATACTGACCAAGGCACCACTGTCTGCAGGAGGTGGTTTTCTGCTTCCTCCAGCCATGAAAGATGAAGTAGATGTGGAATTAGACAAGCAACTAGCCTCGAATGGGACCTGCCCACTAGGAAGGAGTGAAATGTCAATGGGTTGTTGCTGGTTCATTTGTGAGGAGGAGGAAGAGGTACTGGCAACCATCAGAGAAGCTGATTTGTTCATTTGTAATCCAGACTTCCGGATTCCATTGTGGAAATTAAGTTTGAAGACGTGCGCATAACGGTGAGAGAAGACGGCAATATAACTTTCATTGATGATGACCCGTCTCACCTCATGACCCCAATCAATGACGAGGCTGTGGACAATGTCCTTGTAGGAGCAAGAACATTCAGCAGAGTATTTCTCCTGAACCAGGTAAATGTTGATCTTCTTGTAGCAGGCTACAGCCAGAGTACCCGTGTGGGAACAAACGCAAATGCTACTGGCCCTCTCGGTGGTCAGTACCTCAATCACTTCCAGTACAGGTTGACCAGGCAGAATGACAGGTGTCTTCTCTGCCAAACGGAGACTTGTGAGGAACTCCTTTTTGTTGTCCCACTTGTTCAAGTCAAGGTAGGTTTTAACGTAGGTGAGACTCTGTTGGCGATACTGCTTCATCTCCAGTGTCGCCAGATAGTTTTCTGAAAAAGAGACAAATTGAAATTCTGTTATCAAATTTTTTTATGATTTATTAGCATTTTCTTGCTCAGTATTACTTCTAATAAGTTATTTTTTTTTTAATAGTTCACACAATATAAGACTCAAGAGGCACTTAAGACAGAGGGTTACTGAATGAGGTTGTTGTATGAACATAAAAGGAACTAAGAAATACAGATTATGAGGATATGTAGCAAAGATAACAGTTACCCCTAGACTTGAAGAGGTTAAGATTGTAGTGAATGGAGAAGTGTCCTTGAGAGAGAGTGTTCTACAAAGTCACGATTCTTGGAAGGAAGCTGCCCAAATGGAAATTCTTTCTCACTAATGGAACATGAAGGGAGGGAATGGAGCTAATTTGTTCCACTGTAGATGTCATGGCAGTTTTAGCTGTGAAGGTCTGAACAAGTGGAGCTACTGAATGTAACTCATCAGAATATTTGTCATGAAAATAGCAACAGAGAAACAAGAGGATTATGACATTTTATCTGTGGGGAAAAGGGTTGTAGAGTGGAATATAATCCCTCACCCACATCATCAAACACTTTTGAACTGTATCAAAACGAGAAAGTCAGGACTGGACAACTCCAGTTCAGATATGGCTGCAGTACTTCCTTTTTGATCTGATCTTGAAAAAGATAGTGCATGGTAAGAGGAGTTAGGGACTTTTTGGAACACTACAAGGAACCGACCATTTTTCCAGTATCTTTAGCAATTGACCATATATATGAATTCCACTTGAGGCTAGGATGTATTTAAATCCCAACAGAAAAGAAGGAACCTCTTTGAGAGAATGGTGGAAATTCAGCAGTATTTGTCTATATTTCTGAGATGAGGTATTATGTCCACTATTTACATTATTTGAACTATTGTCCTCATCTTTGTTACCATATTTATTACAACATTCAGTTCGACGTTCCAACCACCTGAAGAAGGCCGGAGCATACAACGGCCAAAACGTTGTAATAAATATGGTGACAAAGATGAGGACAATAGTCCAAATAATGTAAATAGTGGAAATTGAACAGTAGAAAAAAAAAAAAAAAAAAAAAAAAGTTTTTTTTATTATAGAAAGAACGTTAGAATGCGGAAAATGACTTAAAGATTAATTAGAAATATAGGAAGTTGAATATGAACATTTTAAAACAATCTTATTATTCATTTTGCCAGTCAATTTCAGTCAAAATGTTATATTTATAATTGCTTATTTTCCATGAAAACAGACAGAAAAATGGAATAGACTACTTGAAATGGAAATTTTTTTCTAGCAATCAGATTTGTCAACTGCCATTTTAATTTGTTACTATTTTTGCTTTCCCTAACTCACTCGTCTGACAAACATCAAAGGTTAAAGTCGGTAATGTTTTAATACATCCCCCCTTACCTACTATCTTCCTACTGTTTACAGTATTTAGGAACCAAGTTTTTATGAAGTTGGAATTCTTTGCAAGGGTTGTCCCAGAAATTCAAGTTAGTTTAAGGGCTGAAGTATGAGCAACTTATCCAATAGGTGGATATTCCAGCTAGTAATTTTTTTCATTTTCCTTTTATTTTCTTGTTTTAATGACATTTATATATTCTTACACTTTCTCACTCAGTATTATAATGAAGTAAGAACAGAAATCTATACTGAAAACAGACAAAAAAAAATGGAATTCTATACTGAAAATGGGATTCCTTAAAATTTGAAATGGAAAATTGGATCCCCTATATATTACTATACTATATAGTACTTAAATGGTTTAAAAGCCATATGTTATTTTCTTAGTTGTTTATATTAGTTGGTTAGTTGATTTTGTTTAGCAGTATATCAACCTCTATGGGTTATTTAATGCTGAAATCTAAATATTTTGTACATAATTTTATGCTTTTAGAGTAAAAGGTATGTTTTTTAGATATATATTTTGTAGATCATAAAATGCATTGTTGGTAATTTTACTATAAAAAAGTACTGTTGATTTTTGTCTGGAGGTTCACTATTTGCCATAGCTGGGACCCTAATAGGTGCTACCACTTGGTGTCAGGGTGGACCTGGGAACAACAGCAATTAAGAGGTGGTTCCACGCTCTTCAAAACCTTCTGACCAGAGGCCTTGCTGCTAGATGTAGTCTATCGTCATACCCAGAACAAGGTTGTTTATATAACCTGTGACATTGCAAGTAAGACTTGATAAATACATAAAAATTTCCATCCTCTTTATCTTTTATGTGTTGTGCTTCCTTTCAGGATGTGGGCAATGATATCTCTCCACAGCTGCCTATCCTTAGCAATATTTGTCTTTTTACTATTCCTCCCACTTTGTTTTGCACAAGCTTGTTAGGAAGGTTACTTGCTATTTCCCTCTGTTCTTCTTGCCTTCAATATATCTTGTGAGTGTCAAATCCTCCAAGCTCTTTCCTTGTGATGTGTCCCAGAAATTTCAACTACCTCTTTCTGATTTTAAGAATGAATAAGTGTTCTTTTGCTTCCATTTTCCTTAAACTTTCATAATTGCTAACATGTTCCATTTATGGTAATCTTCACATTCTTCTGTAGAACCACATTTCTGTTGCCTCAAGTCCCCTTGTCCAACATTCATTGCCATATAGAAGGAATGATTATTAAATAGAAGTTCAGCACTCTTTTCTTTATTTCTAACAAAATTTTCCTGCTTCTTAATATATTTTCTAGAAATGCATACATAGAAAATAAACATATGCCCAAATTTTTATAATACATTCAACATTTGAATGGGCATAAATTGAAAAATTGATCCTTTACTAGTGTTTTAATTAAATTTCACTCAATACAATACTCGAGAGACACTTAAGGTAGAGAGTTACAATCAAAATGAGAATGATGAATGTGGTATATAATATGCCTGCAAGAGATGGCGGTAGAAAGTGAATATTATAAGGATAAGATAGATAACATTTGACTCTTGACTTGAAGAGGTCAAGATTGTAGTGATCAGGGAATCACCTACACAGAAGTGTTCTACAAAGTGACAGTTCTTGAGAAAAATCTGTTTGAGTGGAACTTCCCTCTTACATTTGGAACACAGTGAAAATGATATTGATTTGACTGTCTAAATAGCATGACAGGTTCTAGCTATAAAAATGGAGCTCATCCAAACATTTGCCATGGAAATAGCAATAGAGTAACAAAAGCTTGCAACTTTGTATCTATGGGGGGAAAAAAAAGGTAGAGTGAAGTTTTTTCTACAAGTTTTCCTCTACAAGATTTCAAACCCTATCAAGGGTGGAAAGCAATTATTGAAAAGCCACATCCAAGATATAGCAGCAATACTCCATTTCTGGCCTAATCTGACTCTTATAAAGATAAAGTATGGCAGAAGAAGTCAGGTTATTACTGGAGCAATAGAGCAAGTCAACCATTTTTCCAGCATCTTTAGCAAGGGATTGTATATACAAGTTCCAATTGAGGTCTGACGTGAACTTGAATCTCAATAGATATTCAACCCAGGGGCATCATTGAAAGTACAACTATTCATCATGATTGGAGAGAAGCCAGACTTTGATTGGTGATGACAAAATGATACTAGACTGGTTTTTGAGATACTAAAAGTAACAAGAAAGTTATTTCCCCATTTAACTGTTAGGTTTAATCAAAGAAGAGATCATGTGAGGAAAGATCAAGGTTATAATTTTGATAAGGTATTTTTACATATGTTATGGTTAGTATAATACAAACTGACAGTACAAGTTTCTGTAATGATATTCAAAAAAAACCTGATCTTAATACTACTGCCTAGTTACTCATGTACATATAAAAAAAGTATAACAGGTTAATTGCTAACACTATCAAACCAGTTACTTATGTGTCACTGGTCTTGGTTGGCACAGGTAATATGAGATTCATGTGCCACTGGCATGAACTTGTATTAGCAAATAGCCAATCACTGAAAAATCCAAAGCCAATGCAAATTCCTTTACTTATAACACAAAAAAATAACAAAAGAAATCATGGTATAAGTTGACTACTGATGTTCAACTTAATATATGAACTTAATGTAAAACTGGACCCTAAAGCAAACTACATAAGAAAAATGCCTATTCATAGAAAAACCTCTAACTTCAGTTAACGGAATCATAACCTATATCTGTCAACAGCTATTTGTTCCTGAGTTTGTTCAATCATCTTTTTTTTATGTGCTATGTCATTTCAGGACATAGGCGATCATGGCTCTCCACAACTGCCTAACTTTTGTAGCTCTAAGCAATTTTTGTCCCCTTATCATTCTTTGCAGTACCTGTTCTTATTTACATAAGCTCATAAATTAGGTTACTTGATGTTTCTCTCTGCCCTTCTTGCCTTCAAATATGTCCTGTGAGGATTAAATTTTCCAAGCCTTTTTTCCTCATTATGGGTCCTAGAAATTTTAACTGTTTCTTTCTGATTTTAAGTACAAGTGTTATTTCTATTCCCATTTCCCTTAAAACTTCCTCATTGTTAATATGTTCTGTCCATGGTATTTTCAACATCCCTCTGTAGCTCTAAAGCTTCCTCTTTATCTGTGAATAATTGGAATTCCAAAAATGTTCTGTACATATTTGAAAAGGTTTGTTTCGTTATATCACTTCTCCCTCCCATTATTCAAGAACAGAGAACTAGAATTGAAATTTTGCAATTTCGTCTTTTATTTCATAGAATACTTATTTCTTTTTTAGAAAAGCTTACTTATCTTGATTACTCTTTAAGCAATCAATCGATGATCCTTCAAAATTTTAAAAACAAAAATTAACCTCGTTTAAAAATTCTAAAATCTTTCATAAAATGAGTCTCGTTGCAATAGTTTTTACATCCAATATAAGGGAGATAAATTTGGGTACGTAAAAATCGTTTAAAATGCCAAAATAGACTATATCCGATAAATCTTCGTTGTCAGAAATGAATGGACGACTGAGAAATGAATCAAACAAAGCAATTAAAACTAAACTGATTTTGTTAAACATTAAGCTTTTGGAAAATGAGGTTTACATTTTACACATTCAACATTTTCGAACAAAAAATAAAAACGTGACCGTGTATAAATTCGATTTTATTGTTTTTTTTTTTAATATTTTTAATTTTAATAATAAAAACAAAGATAAAATTTTATAGCCGAATGACCGGTCAAAAAAGTGTAAAAAACTACATTGTTAACAACAAGGAATGATTTATTGAGAGGAAAAATTATTTTCAAGTCACGAGGTTGGGTGGCCCTCATAACTAGCGCTTTCCCGCACAGCTGAGAGTAAATTCGCGGTTCTGGGTTTTTACCCAAAAATTTCAATTCTAATTTTTTTTTTTTTTTTTATAATAGATTCAACTCTGTAAGAAGAGTAATCTCATGCAAATCGATAATGAATAATTTTCAAAATGGCTTTTATTTAATCTGAAACATTCCTTTTACAGCAAATATTGTAAATTCATTCAGATTCAGGATATTCAATATTGTGTTTGCGAGAGAAGTAGTAGTACACTTCTCTACAGACTTCGTTCGTTCTTCTTCTTAATCTTAAAACCTAGTAAAAACAAGAACTACTCTACCCATATATTCCTGTTTTGTGAGTTTACCCTAAAAATTAAGCCAGAAGAAAATAATAATCAACACATGTTACAGACAGCTTAGTTTTATCCAAATGACAAATACATTTCTTTCTAATAATTCGTTAAACTATTTGTGATAACACTACTACACAGTAAACACTCAGACCTACAGGGTCATCAATAATCAATTAACAAAAAAAACACTTACAGAGAAGAGATGGAAAAACTAATGGACTTCAGTTAAAAATGAATTGAATAAGTCTTAAATTTATTTAAATTTTAATCATAAATGTTTTTTTAAAGATATTCAAATAATAAAATATATCTTGTTACAAAATTAGTCAGTGACTTTCAATGGGGATAAAAAGGGAGGAACGGGGCATTTGTTTGGATTGCTTTTTTTTTTTAAATAATCCGCTTTTTTTTTTTTTTTTTTTTTCTAGAAGGTTTTATACTTTTTATCGTCTAATAATTGAATGAGTTTATGACGATGATGATGAGATAGTAGTTGAACAACGAAATGATTTATTTTGTCAAAAAAAAGGCCGTGTTTTTGGGGGTTTTTTTCTCGTTTTCTTTTCTCGCTTTTTAAAATAGACAAGTAAAACTCCATTTTTCAGTCTATTTTTTTTAATTTTCATTTAAAAAAAAACCCAAAAAAACAATGTTACTTAAAAAAAGGAAAGAAGAAATAGCAGTATTTAAAACAAAAATACGTGTTGTTAATCTTTTTAGGGGGCAAGTGTTTTACTACTACGACTAAAAGGGGAAAAGGGTTTTGTTTAAAATGAGAGAACCTATCAGCAAGATGTGGCTGCTACTACAAAAAAGTAAAAAATAAAAAGAAGACTTGTTTTGTTTTTTCCTTTGGTTCCAACCAATTGATATCTTTTTTTATTTATTCCTTTTTGTGACAAAATTCATCTGTAATAATTTATATCCTCTTTAAAAATCCAATTGAACAGTAACCAATGCGATACATTTACCTTGACAGGCAAAATAAGACAAGAGAGTAGTGTAAACAAACAAAGTTTGCTTATTTATTTGAAAAAGAAATGCCGCTGAGGGTCAAAATAAAACAGACTAAATCACTAAATAAATAAAAAATAATATTTTTTTAATGTTTTTGAATTTTGTTTGTCTCTGTATAATATCATTGGTGATGCCTTTTTAAAAAACGTTTGAGAATATTTTTCAGAACTAATTAAATTACCCCACAAACAATTTTTCCATTCAATGAAAAAGACAAATTCCAATATTAATACTAAAAAAGTCATTTAAGTTTAAACAACAAAATAAGGCTTTTCCCAAGGAACATGTGACCTAAGCCATCACTTATTAAAATTAATGACAATTAATTTTTCAATAGCTTAATTCAGTGAAAGTGTTACTTAGAAATCAGTAATCAATGTTAGTCATTTTTTGCTTTTTTATATAATAATTAAATTAGTTTTATTCAAATCTGACAAAAAGCTAGCTACCATGTTATTGTTCATTTTTTTTTTTACTTTAGGTTTTAAAAGTAAATAAAAAAAAAATGAAATAATAAAATTTGGAATATGAAAATTAAGTTCCTCCTTCAACGAAAATTTAATTTTAAAGTTAAAAAATACTTTCCATATTATTTATGTTCATTTTCAGCATTGTTTTTTTTTTCTGTTCATTCATATAAATAAAAAGGAAATCAACCCAATAGCTAAAAATTAATCAATAAAAGTGGCTACCATGTAACAACAAAATTTTATAAATTAGCAAGAAACACATTTAATCCAGTATCATTGGTAAATAATGGATGACCGAGATGAATGAATCGATAAAAAAAGGGTATCTCGAACCTTTCTCACTGTAAGCCAGCTGTTGAGCCAGTCCTTCTGTGTTGAGTGTACAGACATTTTTCCATCCTTTGCCTTTCTGCAATCGAAAAACTTCCAAGCATCCAGCCGACGTCGCTACGTAAACGGAATTAGTCGAAGTACACACGGCAATCGGTTCTTCGGCTACAGGCAACACCACCTGCGATTTGAAACCGAAACACCTAAATACACGCACCATGGCTCAATCACATAGGAGAAGGCAGGAGAAGAGAGTGTTGGGACAACATAAACAACGACCAAACCGCGACAGTTCGTTCATTTTTGTCACTTGTCGTGCAAATATTATAATCCGCGATCTTTGGTTCGACATGATGTTGTAGCGACGACGCCCATGGCAGCTTGTGCCGTGGGACTGCTGGGCCAGCTGATACCTGGCTGCAAACGAGATAACACCAGTATTATGCATTAGAACTTCAGCTGAATAAAAGTTGTTTTTATTATGCAACTTTACTTATTGTTACTGTTATTGTTTATTATCATTTAATTTAACAATATCAGTAGTAGCATTATCATAATCAACATCACTGCAGTATTTTCATTTGTACTAATAATTAGTAGTAGCATTATTTTTTGCTAAGAATTATTATGCTACCAAGTATGGCAACAGGTCATATTTTTAGACCATCCAGTGAGGCCTTGGATCAATAATTTGTGAAATCAGCATCTAAATTATTGTATTAATAACAAATGTACAACATTTGCTATTCTTGCAATATTGCACAGTAACATGCCTTCCTTTACTAAAACTTTATCTACTTGAGTGATCTCTTACCATAAGTAATTTCCATCACTACTTTTATTATGATAACTACTATTTTTCCCCAATACATAAGAACATTTTTTTCAGGAACTTGTTCATGTATTCTCATATTATTATTTATCCTTGTATAATTGTTTAAATTATCAAAGTGTGGAACCTACCGGGTCTGCTACAAAAAGGATTCCAAATTTTAGATAATTATAGAAATCTATGTTTATATATATATATATATATATATATATATATATATATATATATATATATATATGCCCTTTTCCACTACATAATAAAGAAATTTCCAACCAATGAGGTGTTCAGATGGGATGTTTTTTTTTTGCTAAGCCTTGATTCTGAGCCTGATTATGGTGACACTGTGTCTGGTTCTGGGTAATAAAAAAAAAGAATGTATTGAAAAAAGACAAAACAAAAGAACTCCTTCTCAAGATTATTTTACTATTGGTGAGATGTAAGTTCCACTTAAACAACTTCTTTTCAACTGTTGCTTTGTGGAACTGACTCCCAAGAGGATGCTCCCAAATTGCAATAATCTTAACCTGTTCAAGTCTAGCTTCAACCATTATTTTCCGATATATACCTATAAACTGTGCCTCTTACTCTGTAAGACTCTACATCGAATGGCTCTTAGGCCTTGTACAGGGTGAACATCATTGTTTAAAAAAAAAAAAATAACCTGTATATGGCACTGTAACAAAACTGAAAGGAGCTCAAATCTAAATATTGATCTAATATAGAAAAAATATTACACAATAATGAGAAAAGTATCTCACAAAAAGCAGCATAACTAGCAAATCCAAATTTTCTAAAAGTAATCAAGTTTGTTTTTTGTTTTTTTAAATTGGTTTCACCCCAAGCAAGGCATTAAAGTTACTAAAAGACAAGGAGTTACTAGGTGTGGAAGAATTAGGAACAGAAACATTAATAATGAGCAGGAACAGAAAAAAGTAATCAGGAGGATAGTAGATACCGATTGACATTGCATTTAAATTTTTGCAGATTAAAGTTGGCTGGAAAGCATGGAGCTGGAAGGGAGTTCCACAAGTGAGAAGTGAGAAAAAAAGAAACTGTTAGCATAGAATTTATAGTTATATCTATAGCCAAATCAACTGATAATTGATGAAATCTCAATGCCAATCTAGTACTATGCTTAAATTAAAAAAATCTAGGCCCCATAGCTCATCTGAACAATTACCATGAAAGTATTTGTAGAAAAGACACAGAGAGGCAACCTTACAGTGGTGGGAAAGTGACTGAAGCCAAGCTGTCAGATCATGATCAATAATATTGCAGATTCTTCTTTGGATTTAATCAAGGAGCCCAAGGTAAATAGCGGGGGCACCAAACCATATATGGCAGCAATATTCTAAGCATGGACAAATAGTAGACTTATAGATATGTATGACAGTTTCTAGAGAAAAATATTGTCTCACATGACACAGTGAACTGACTTTCTTCACAGCTGACCTAGCAATAGATTCAATAGAGTCTTTCCACTTCATGCCAGCTGAGAACATTAGCCTGAGAAGATGCAATGAGTCACTTTCCTAGAGATTAGCATCAGCCATGCTGATGGAAGGCAGCAAGGTATCTCTCAGATACATTGGAGACATTAAAATTAACAAGTCATCTTTTGTCCCAGTTAACAACAGATTTGAGATCATTTTGGACACCTGCTGCCATTTTGATAAAGTGTTTTGAAAAAGTTATTCAAAAGTTCCTTTGTGCACCAAAAGTTCTTTAGGCAGGTAGAAAGTTTTCCAAGTCCTTTTAAGAATTTCTGTTTGAATTTCTGATATTAGGAGTTATCATTATTTACATTCAGACTATTGTCATCACAATGTTTTGGCAGTTGTAGCCTCCATCAAATGCATGTTAATTCAGGTAACCTTCCAGGAATTTTGAACTGAGTCCTTTATTTAATCTATGGGGGTAGATTGTTTTTGTCCCACTGATCATTGCAATCTTTCTGTAACAAAATTACTGAAGTCTTTGTCTTCTCCATCTTCTTCTCCATAGTCATAGTCTTCTTCTGCTCAGTCTTACACCGCAGTCGACACCAAAATGAAAAACACGTGTGACTTTCGCACAACTGGACAACTCTCCCTTACCATCACAAACTCTCAGCTTTTATGCCAGTGAGGCATACGCTTATGCAAATGAATACAGGCCTCACTCCCAGTCTGATCGCGCATGCACACTGCCATTTCTGTGTCCACCACCATGACGCTTGCCTCATTAAACGTTCACTCATACATTTGTTACAATCATATCTAAGGATATCTCATCTTGTCCTTATTTAGTACAGCTCAGTTGTTGCTCTCCCTGTTTCAACTGAGTCTAAGTCTGTATCTTTATTTGAAGTGAAAAATGACGAAAATTGGAAAAGTGATATTCCACTTCTTTACTGGTGTTCATTCTACTCATCTTCTATGGATTTTATCAACTGCACAGTTATTGACCTTTGTTTACTCATATATCCACTGTCATCTGAAGCCACACCTTTTTTCAAATTTCTAATGAGTTATCTTCAATGGATTTCCAGCTTCTGGTGACCATTATTTTTGACAAGATTTTTAGCCTAGAGCCTTTCCTATAATGATTTTTATAGTAGGTCATAATAAAAAGGTAGGTAATATTTAAATAAATTACTAAAAAAACTCAGCAGTTTATTCAAAAGTGATACACCCATTGTGTTTATTTATTTTTATATAAAAGCTAATTTCAATAACAGCTAAGAATAAAGAGCATCAGCTCTTTTTAGTAGTGTTCTTTTTTCATTAAATGAAATAAGTGAAATGCAAATAAGACATACAGCTATAGTTAAATCATTTTACTATATACTATGCCAGTTTTTTGTTGTAACAGAGTTATCTCCCTTGCAATGGCAAAGCTCGGTAGCAGTGACTTATCACAATGGTAGATGAAAAGACTTGCACTGTGAAAGAACAGACTATAATAATAATAATTGAAAAAATATATTTAAAAACACACACATGAAAACCTAAGAAGAGTAAATACTTATGCTGTCATATTAGTTGGCATGACCTACAATTTTAAGTGGGGCTATGGGTAGTGTAACGGCTATCAGTGTAGAAAGTGGAATTGGCAAGCTGAATTCAAATTCCAGTCTAGTCTTATGTTCATTTTCATTGTACAAATGTATGTGAGAAAGGCATGAATCCATTTCTTCTCCCCCCCCACAGCTATATGTTAAATAGTAGAATAGACTGAGTTCTCTAACCAGTCAATAATACAAAATTTGTCTCTGAAGAAAGATGGACTGTGTCAGGTTCTCTTGTCCTAGACTCATCCACTCTTGCTACAGAACATGTGGTGAACCTACAACTATAATGGATTATAAGACTTTACTTGGTAGAGGCAAAAGCGAACCATTTCTTAATAGAATATTGATATTCCGACATGATCATACTATCAAGTTGGTGCAAAAGTAATGTCCAATTTCAAGGTATGTATTAAAAATGAAAAAGCCCGGGATTATGAAAATATTTACTTGTTAACAGAACCTCCTTTACTTTCTAGAACATCATTCATCTGTCAACAAACTTATAAATGCCACACCTGTAAAATTCCTTAGGTTTTGAAGCAAAATATGAATCCAACACATTTTCAACCTTTTCTCTTGATGTCAACCTAAGACCATCCAAATGATTCTGTAGTCCTGAAACAAGTGATAACCAGAAGGAGCAAGGTCAGAAGAAAATGGTAGATGAAGCAATATTTTCCAACCAAGCTCTTCCATAAGATTTTTAGTCAGCTGAGCTGTGTGAGGATGAGCATTATCATGATGGGTGGTGATACCATTTCTGTTCACTAAAGAAGGTCACTTTTGGTTCAAAGCTGTTTTCAAACAACAAAGTTGATCATAGTACAGATTAGCTGTAATTGTTTGATTGTTGTTTTACAGTTCGTAATGGACAATTCCTTCAATATCCCACCATACACTCAACATGATCTTCTTTCAATGGAGTCCTCCTCTTGTTTGTTGCACTGATCTTCCTCATTGACTGATCCATGATCAGTGGCATTTAATGTTATGGTAAAGGGTCCACTTCTCATCACCTGTAACAAGCCTACCTAAAAATAGGGCCTGAAAGTGTTGTAAATTCGCAACAAGCAAGATGTTATTACAGATTCTCTGGAGACAGTTTGTGTGGGAACCATTTCCCAGCCACTGAAACCTTTTCAATCATTTTTAATTAGTATAGCACCATTGTAGAGTCTACATTAAATTGTTCTGTAAGTTCCCTAGAGGTAATGGTGAGCTTGTCTATGACAACAGCTTCCAACTCCTCCGACCAAGATTTTTTGGATGAACCTCCTTTTGCTCATCTTTCAAACTGAAATTCCCACTTCAGAATTGGGAAAAATCACCTCCTGCAACTTCTTTCATTCACTGCATCATCTCTATAAGGGCTCTGAATATAATTTGCTGCTGCATTTGCATTGACACCTTTATGAATCTTAAGCAGTAAGGTATGTTGAATGTGATCTTTAGATGGGATGAACATGGGTCTGAATATAGTGGAAGACCAAGAAAATATTTTTATAATCTGAAAAGAAATGTGTAAATTACTTATTGTGACTTAACTATAATGAGAAGCACAAAT